TTAAGGAAAGACAGAAATGAGTCCTGGGCAGAACTGACAGATATCCACTACACTGCAATCCTCATCTTAACCTCTTAGCTGCATTTGATTCAGCTAACCACCCCTCTCTTCCTCTCTCTCTTTCTTCACATTAAAAAAAAATATATAGCTTCTATAACAATATATGCTCTTAGCTCTTTTCCTCTACCTGTAGCTTCTTCTTCCTAGCTTTATTTTGGTTCTTCAGTAAATATTGGAGTCCCTCACAGCTCAATCCTTGGCTATTTTCTCTTTTTATTCTGTACTGGGACCCTAGGCAAATATGTTCATTCACAAGTTTCAAATATCATCCATAAGACAAATATTTTTCAAATATGTGTCTTAGACTCAGACACCTCCTTAAAGGTTTAGACCTGTATATTCAACTGCCTACTTGCAATGCACAGAACGCCTCATGGGCACCTTGAACTTTGCTTTTCAAAACTGAACTCTTGATCTTCCTTCAAAAGCAAGATCACCAACCACTGTATCCTAACAAATAAATGGTACTGTAAATTGAAGTTCTTCCTTAACTCCTCTCCCTCATTCTCTTCCCCTTGTAATGCTTCAATTGATTTGTCATTTTCCTTCTAAATATTTTGTAAATTAAGCACTTCTCTCCATGGCTATTGTCATAGCTCCATTCTAGGCCACTATTGTCTCCTGCTTTGACTACTACTTTGCAATTTGTAAACCTCATAACAGCTTTACTTCCACTCTTGCCCTCTCTCCAGTCCATTCTCCACAGAACAACCAGAAAGGTCATATTGAAATGTAAATTTGACTGTTTAGGCCAGGCTCAGTAGCTCACACCTGCAATCCCAACACTCTGGGAAGCCAAGGTGGAAGGATAGATTGAGGTCAGGAGTTGGTGGTACACCTGTAGTTCCAGCTTCGGAGTCTGGGACAGGATGATCACTTGATCCTGGGAGTTCAAGGCTGCAGTGAGGCATGATTGCACCACTGCACTCCAGTTTGGGTGACAGAGCAAGACTTGCCTCTTAAAAAAAACAAATAGACTATTTATCCTACACAAAATCCTTCAGAGGCTTCCCATGCATTTAGGGTAAGGTGGTTAATTTTGACATAAGCCAAAATGTTCCCTATTATGTGATCTCATCTATCAACTGCCCTCCCCCATTATGTATATGCCACAGTGGACTTGTCTAAGTTGCTTGAACATGTCACAAGCCCTTTCCACCTCTGGATTTACATACATAATCTTCTCTCTAATCATAAACCTCTCCTCATTATTTGTGTTATTTTGGTTTAAATATTACTTCAGAGAGAGTTTTCAGGCTTCATATCCTCAATCTAAATTAGATTTTCTTATGGCATTTTTTCATAGTACTCTATATTTTTCTTTAGAGCAATTGTCTTAGATAGACTCGAAGGTGGAGATTTGTGTGAAGGAGCTTTATTAGGAAGTGCTTTTGGGAACAACACTGATAAGAAAGCAGGAAGTGAAGGAAGCAGAACTGGGTAGAAGGGGAAGTGAAACTGCGGATACAATAGGGACCTTAGCCAATCTCATAAGGAGCAGTGGAGCTTCAGAGGTGTCTTAATTTCAGGTAAGGGGACCAGGTCTTTGTAATTCCCACAAACCACTCACTGTGTACAAGAGCTCTCACTGTGGCCCAGCGCAGTGGCTCACACCTGCAATCCCAATACTTTGGGAGGCTGAGGCAGGCTGATCATGAGGTTAGGAGATTAAGACCATCCTGGCCAACATAGTGAAACCCTGTCTCTACAAAAATACAAAAATTAGCTGGGCGTTGTGGCAGGTGCCTGTAATCCCAGCTACTCAGGGGGCTAAGGCAGAAGAATCACTTGAATCCGGGAGGTGGAGGTTGCAGTAAGTCGAGATTGCACCATTGTACCCCAGCCTGGGCAACAAGAGCGAAACTTCATTTCAAAAACAAACAAAAAAAAGCTCTCACTGTGTACAAGAGCTTGCTTTAGCCAAGAGCAATTCCCAAAGAAGGACTCAGAATGAGCCATAAGTAACTTTACTCACCTAGGCTTGAATAACATTCCCATCTGTACTGTGAATGATGATGAGAATGCATTTGGAAAATTTTGGAGAGTTGGCTAGTAACTGACACATGTAGCAGTTGGGGAGCTGAGTGCCTATGAACTGAAGGCATGATCTAAGTAGATGGTGGGTGTACTACAACAATTAACACACCTTATGACTAAATACTTATTTTCATCATTATTTGAATAGTTTCAAACATCCTCCACCAAGCTGTGAGCTCCATGAAGGTGTGTCTGTTTTGTTCACTATTTCCCTCAAATTCCTAAGGAATGGCTGTCACATGTGAGTGCTAGATAAATTATTATGAAAGGAAAGGAGCTTAAATTGCATCCAGATAAATTTGTAGAGTTACTGACAGACTTTAAACAGGATTTATATTCCACATCAGCAGTCTCATAGTTCTCTGTCCTTGAGAAATTGATCTCATTTTTAAAAAATCATTCTAGCTCTATTGTTGAAAGTGGAAGATGAGCAGAGCCTCAGTAGAGATTGGGAGATCAGTTAGGAGACTGATTCAGTCAGGAGACTGATTCAGTCATCAAAGCGGAATGGAATGAGGAATGGGACAGGGTAGAGAGAGGAGCAGAGAAGGTTGAACCTGGAGTAGAGTGAGGAAAGCCCAGCTAAGCAGCACAGAGAGAACCAGCAGAGGGAAACAAATTCAAGGAAAATGGCTAGGAGACTAGCAAAGTCATATTCCTAAAGGATATTAGGAAAATGAAGGCCAAGGGGAAGCAAACAGATGTCACTGTAAAGAAGTCATAGATGAGCTGGCGTGGTGGCTGATGCCTGTAATTCCAGCACTTTGGGAGGCCAAGGCAGGTGGATCATGAGATCAGGAGTTCAAGACCAGCCTGGCCAAGATGGTGAAACCCTGTCTCTACTAAAAAAAAAAAAAAAAAAAAAAAAAAAAATTAGCTGGGTGTGGTGGTGGGTGCCTATAATTCCACCTACTTGGGAGGCTGAGGCAGAGAATTGCTTGAACCTGGGCAACAGAGCCAAGACTCCATTTCAAAAAAAAAAAAAAGAAGTCATAGATGGCCTTGTAATACACTGTCTTGGTCAAACCGGAGGGCACAGTTTTTCACAACTTACATGTGGAAAAAACCCCAAATATTCACATTTAATTTTTAATTGAAACTGTCTTTTTTTCCTATGAAGAACAAATAGTATTAAACTGAATAATTTTTTCTGGTTTTATATACTTTAAAATACTTGATATATACCTCTTCTATATTTTATTTCACATTTTGCTTTGAATTATCTTATACTATAAAACTATTGGCATGCAAGGTACTGTACTGATTTTTATGTCTTCAACTCTACTATAATGCCTACCACAAAGCCATGCTCATAGTAATATATGTTCAATTGAAAGAAAATTTTCAATTCCAACATTTTTTGTCTGCCTTAGAAATCTACTAAATTTTAATACTCACTTCTGGGGGGGAATCTTTGATTAACATTTGGTCCCATTTACAAACTTTGTTAAATACCTTTAAAAGCTTTAAATGGCACTTATTCATTAAATATACTTAATTTTTAAAATATTTCACATATTCAGCAAATTCTCACTGAGCTGTAAATAACTCCTGTAAGTTAAATAAATTATACTTACAAATATGGATACATTATTTAAGCCATTTCTTTACTGGTTAACAACTTAATAATATTTTCATAGTGTTCTACTTAATACCAGAAATGTAAACTCAGTTTAACATTTTAAACTGTAAGTCCAAAGCTAATTTGTTAAATATTCTAATATTCCAAATTATTGAATAAATGTTAGCTTAAATGTGTATTTAAGATGTAGATCTTAAATTTTGATCAATCCGTATTGTATATTTAAGATCTATACCTTAAATCATTTAATCTTACATTCTAATGCAGCTCAGAGATGCAATGTGCAAACAGATATATTATGATATGTGACAAATGCTATGGAAAAAATAAAAGCACACAGGGGACAGAGAGTGATGGGGCACATATCAGACAGAGTTGTCAGAAAAGATGTTTTTGGTGTTATTTGAGAAAACAGTTAAGAATGAAGTGAATCGGTGGTACTGGAGAAAGATTTGGAAAAATGAGCTACTGTAGAAAACACTATCCAGAAGCTTGCCTGGCAATTTCTGGGAAGACAAAGCAGCCACCTCTTTCTACCTCTCATAAATCACTGATTAACAGAAAGCAATGCCCAGCACACTCCCATTTCCCAAGCTGTCCAATTCCACATGATTTAGCATTGATATTGTAAAGAAAACCTGTCTATAATTTAATATTTGAGCCAAATCCTATATTTGAGCCAAAAGCGAATAGCTATTTTTAGAAGAGTGATTGAACCCAGAAATCTTTCATATGAGGAAGGAGTTCCTTTTGTACCAACTTCTCCTTCCTTCTTCTGTCACAATCTACCTTATCCTGCCTCCTATTTCGAGCTCCTACAGCTTTTTACCTTCTGCCAGTACAAAAGAGGAGCCAATGTATCTCTTCTCAACACCTAGTTACATTTAGGCATTGTGGATGCTTAAAAAAAAAATTAAATCTGACATTAATGAAGAAAGCTAGCACCAACTCTCTTGGTCATTGCCAAGCTTTGGGAAGAGAAATATTTGTCTGGGATAGAAGAAGGTCTACTCCACTTGAATCCCAGACCAAGATTGAAGATGTGGGTCTGGTTCTCAAGACTGAGAAAATGGCAGGAGATTTTAAGGGAGCATGTATTGCAAGCAAAATTGGCTACACTGACTTTCAAAGAATGTCCACCTTGCACTAGTTCATAATACAATTTAATTTTTGGGGGGGATCATACAGTTTGAAGTCCAACATTTTATACACATTAAACAATATTTGGTTGGGAAATTGTTGATCATTCAAAGAAAACCTTTCAAAAAACCTTATCCGGTTATTTGCCTTTTTTAAAAAAAAAAAATCTTTACTCACCTAGGCTTGAATAACATTCCTGTCTGTACTGTGAATGATGATGAGAATGAATTTGGAACATTTTGGGGAAGTGGCCAGTCTAACCACTTAGAGAAGAACAGGATACCATTTGCCAAGTGCAGTTACCCTCCCAGCACTGCAGGCCAGGAGAGCCCTGTAAGAGGAGTGTCGCCAGCCCCAAACAGTGCCAAAGTGCCCCCACGGCCTCATTCTGGTGAGTTGAGTTAAAACTGATGAAATGTTTCCTTATGGCTCCAGCAAACAAGGGTGTGGGGAGTCCATATGATGCTAAAATAGCTGCAGTGATTTTTACACGGTCATAAGTCTCCTCACTGTGTGAGACATAAATTTTTTTCACTCTTTTAATCTGATTTCAGTAGCACAATAATGTCAAAAATGTTATTACTATTAGTAGTAGTCGTATCCAAGACATATTTGGTGTGGTTCTAGTCTCTAATCCCTGCAAAACCAGCTAAAAGATGCCAGAAATGAATATTGATCCAACGCTGTCAGGAAACTATGTCAGACAAAAACCAAGTCCAGAAAACACAATAGGAATGGCATTGTATGTTCACATTGTCCTCATGAGACTGTCATGTCCTTATGGTCAGGCCCTGTGTTATTGCTTCCCGTGTTTTTGTCATCCTTCCTTTCCCCCCAGGTCCAAGCACAGTGCCTGGTCCTTAGTAAACAATTAAATTAATTAATTTTTATTGAATTGAAGGAAAAAGGTGTTAATCAAAAGTAAAATGTGGACAAAGCCAAAGGGCAAGGTAAAATAGAAGAAAGGAATTCTGTAAGGTAGAAATTATATCCAGTTCTTCTCTTTCTCTTGCCCTATACAATTTACATGCTATTACTAAAACTGTCAGGATATATGAAAATTATAATGGCATAATGTAAAATATATATATAAAGATAGCAGGAAGAGTGATCAATTATACAGTACTCACTATGTGGAAATATACCATTCTAAGGTCTTCACACTTAAATCATTTCATCCTTTCAAGAATTTCCCTTCCCTCTCTTCCACTAAAGAGTCAAAGTCCACTTATTCTCCCTTCTTTTTCATGTCCCTTTTTATACTATAGAACCTAGAAATTTAGAAACTACATTTGCAAGAAAGAGGCCTTTGATAGGAATCAGGTGTCACCACCTAATAAGAATTCTAATACTAGATATAGGCTAAGGTCATCTTTTATCTATAAATTGATATAAAGGGAAATTAAGTAAAACTTTAAGTGGTTTTAGGGTAACTTAGGAGGATTTAGTTATATGACTGAGTATGAAATGGGTAGGGTTGAGAGGCTGTTCAAAGAAAAAAGAAAGTAAATAATGTAATTGTAATTCAGCACAAACCATCTTTCTGTTTAAAGGGCAAATAACACATATAAATTCTCTTTAATTAGAGAAAGTGTCATTTATATGGACAGGAAACAGAGAAAAATATATCTTATACTAAAATATATACTTTTTAAATCAGTTTAACCAGATCAATAGTGAGTTCTCTTTCTAAAATCTGGTTTCTTTAACTCAGCATGATTATTTTAAGATTCATTCATGTGTTCTTATATCATCATCTTGGGCATAGAACTAGTTTTTAAATGCAAATACTTTATGTTATTATAATGCCATTTTACTTGCAAATTTCCTAATATTTATAATCAAATTCCTGAATTGACCTTAATTTAAAGTCAGAAATACTCTCATCTATTTCAGCAATTGACACATATATCATGTGACATAAATTCTTTTTCAGTTTAATCTAAATACATTTTTTTGTCAATTTCATTTCAGAGCCCAGTAGAAAAATTAAAGAGTGCTTCAAAACTTCCAGTGAGAATCCTTTAGTAATTAAAAAGGTAAGGAACAGCTATTTACCATTATCTATTTAGTTTGACTTCTATCATTTCCTCTTCTTTTCTTTACAAACCTTTCTGAAAAGACACCATGTTTCACAATATTTTTATAGCTTTAGTAAAGTCTAATTAGCATAATATAAGATACACATATTCAAAGTGCACAATTTAATGAGACAAATTTTGACAAATACACACCTGGGAAAATACCACTGCAATCAAGAGAATGCACATCCTCATCACCCCAAGTTTTGTTATGATTCTGGCCCTCCGACAGGCAAATGTTTGTCTGCTTTCTGTCACTAAAGATTAGCATGGAATTTTTTGAATTTTATATAAATAATAGTGAGTTCTCTTTCTAAAATCTGGTTTCTTTAACTCAGCATGATTATTTTAAGATTCATTCATGTTTTTATGTGCATCAATAGTTCATTCCTTTTTATTGCTGAGTAGTATTCAATTATATGGTTAGCCTGTAATTTGTTGATCTATTTACCTGTTGGGGGCATTTAGCTTGTTCCCAATTTCTGGCAAAGATAATATGAACATTTGTGTACAAGTCTTTTTTGGATATATACTTTGCTTTCTCTTGGATAATACCTATGAGTGAAATAACTGTTTCATAGTAGTTGTATGTTTAAGTTTCTGAGAAATAGACAAATTGTTTTCCAAAATGATTGTCCCATTTTACATTTCCACCAGCAGCATGTGAGTTTTCTTTCCTCCACATCTTCCCCAAACTTAGAATGGTCAGTCTTTTTTATTTTTTAGCCAACCTAATGGGTATGTATTAGTATCTTATTATGTCTTATTATGGTTTTAATTTGCATTTTCATTATGAGATGCACATCTTTTCCAATTCTTAGTCACCATGCATATATCTTTTTATGGGAAATCTATTGTTAGATCTTTTGCCCACTTCTTAAATTGGGTTGTTGACCCTTTTTTTTAAATGACATTGTAAAAGTTCTTCATATATTCTAGATTAAACCTTTGCTACATGCATGTTTTTGCAAATATTTCCTTCTAGTTTTAGGTTTGCTCTTTTTACAATAAGTGTCTTTAAAAAATTTATAATTTTTCCATTGTAGTTTCAGATCTGCATGCTGTTTATCTCTCTATTGTGCTTATTGCAATGGCTATAATCTCTAGTACAATGTTGAATAGAAGTGATGAGAACAGACATCCTTGCCTTGTACCTGATCATAGAAGGAAATAATTCAGACTTTCATCATTAAGTATTATGTTAATTTACTTCATTCATAGATGACCTTTATATGGCTTAGAAAGTTCCTTTCCATTCCTAGTGTGCTGAGAATTTTAACAGGAATGGGGAGAGATGTATTTTGCCAAATGCTGTTTCAGTATCTAGCTGAGATGATCATATAATTTTTCTTTTACAGTTTGTTAATACTGGGAATTACATTGGCAAAATTTCATATTTGAACCAACCTTGCATTTCTGGTAGAAACCTCACTTGGTCATGATGTGTTATCCTTGTTATATACGAAAATTTCATAAAATATTTTTAGCATTCTTGTGTCTATATGAGAAAAATTTGTTTGTAGTTTTCTTATAATGTCTTTTTTCTGGTTTTAATATCAGCATAATGTTGGCTTTATAGAATAAGTTGGATATTCCTCTTTAATATCCTGGAAGATTTTATGTAAAATGGATATTACTTTTATCTTAAAAGTGCAGTAGAATATTAGGCTTGGTATTTCCTTTGAGTCAAGATTTTTAACTACAAATTCAATTTTTTTCATAGATATAGGCTTATTTGGGTTGTCTATTTCTTCTTTTTAAAATTTTATTTATTTTATTTTATATACATATTTTATTGCACTTTAGGTTCTGGGGTACATGTGCAGAACATGCAGGATTGTTGCATAGGTAAATACATGGCAATATGGTTTGCTGCCTCCATCTCCCCCGTCACCCATATCTGACATTTCTCCCCATGTTATCCCTCCCCAACTCCCTACCCCCTCCCAGTCCCTCCCCTAGTCCCCCACCCACAGACCCCAGTTTGTGATGCTTCCCTCCCTGTGTCCATGTGTTCTCATTGTTCAACATCTGTCTATGAGTGAGAACATGTGGCGTTTGATTTTCTGTTCTTGTGTCAGTTTTCTGAGAACAATGGTTTTCAGATTCATCCATGTCCCTACAAAGGACACAAACTCATCGTTTTTTATGGCTGCATAGTATTCCATGGTGTATATGCACCACATTTTCCTTGTCCAGTCTATTATCAATGGGCATTTGGGTTAGTTCCAGGTCTCTGCTATTGTAAACAGTGCTGCAATGGTCACACGTGTGCATGTGTTTTTAAAATAGAATGACTTATAATAATTAGGATATATACCCCGTAATGGGATTGCTGGGTCAAATGGACTTTCTATTTATAGGTACTTGAGGAATCGTCACACTGTCTTCCACAATGGTTGAACTAATTTATGTTCCCCCAACAGTGTAACAGTGGTCCTATTTCTCCACATCCTCTCCAGCAACTGTTGTCTCCAGATTTTTTTAATGACTGCCATCCTAACTGGCATGAGATGATACTTCAATATGATTTTGATTTGTATTTCTCTAATGACCAGTGATGATGAGCATTTTTTCATGTTTTTTGGCCTCATATATGTCTTCTTTTGAAAAGTGTCTGTTCATGTACTTCACCCACATTTGAATGGATTTGTTAGTTTTTTTTTTTTTTCCTTGTAAATCTGTTTTAGTGCTTTGTAGATTCTGGATATTAGCCCTTTGTCAGATGGGTAGATTGCAAAAATTTTTTCCCATTCTGTTGGTTGCCGGTTCACTCTAATGATTGTTTCTTTTGTTGTACAGAAGCTCTGGAGTTTAATTAGATCCGGTTTGTCTATTTTGGCTATTGTTGCCAATGCTCTTGGTGTTTTAGTCATGAAGTCCTTGCCTATGCCTGTGTCCTGAATGGGTATGCCTAGGTTTTCTTCTAAGGTTTCAAATGGTGTTAGGTTTTATGTTTAAGTCTTTAATCCATCTAGAGCTAATTTTAGTGTAAGGTGTCAGGAATGGGTCCGGTTTCTGCTTTCTGCATGTGGTTAGCCAGTTTTCCCAACACCATTTATTAAACAGGGAATCCTTTCCCCATTGCTTGTTTTTGTGAGGTTTGTCAAGGATCAGATGGTTGTAGATATGTGGCATTGCCTCCAAGGCCTCTGTTCTCTTCCATTGGTCTATATCTCTGTTTTGCTACCAATACCATGCTGTTTTGATTACTTTAGCTTTGTAGTATAGTTTGAAGTCAGGTAGCATGATGCCTCCAGCCTGTTCTTTTTGCTTAGATTTGACTTGGCTATGTGGTCTCTCTTTTGGTTCCATATGAAGTTTAAGGTGGTTTTTTCCAGTTCTGTGAAGAGGGTCATAGGTAGCTTGATGGGGATAGCACTGAATCTATAAATTACTTTGGGCAGTTTGGCGATTTTCACAGTATTGATTCTTCCTAACCATGAGCATGGAATGATTTTCCATCTGTTTGTGTCCTCTCTTATTTCCTCGAGCAGTGGTTTATAGTTCTCCTTAAAGAGGTCCTTTACATCCTTTGTCAGTTGTATTCCTAAGTATTTTATTCTCTTTGTAGCTGAATGGCAGGTTGTTCTTGATTTGGCTCTCTTTACATCTGTTATTGGTGTATAGGAATGCTTGTTATTCTGCACATTGATTTTGTATCCTGAGACATTGCTGAAGTTGCTTATCAGATTCAGGAGATTTTGGGCTGAGATGATGGGGTCTTCTAAATATACAATCATATCATCTGTAAATAGAGACAATTTGACTTCCTCCTTTCCTAATTGAGGAATTGACTTCCTCCTTTCCTATTTCTTTTTCTTGTCTGTTTGCTCTGGCTAGAGCTTCCAATACTATATTGAATAGGAGTGGTGACAGAGGGCATCCTTGTCTAGTGCCTGATTTCAAAGGGAATGCTTCCAGTTTTTGCCCATTCAGTATGATATTGGCTGTAGGTTTGTCATAAATAGCTTTTATTATTTTGACATATATTCCTCTGATACCTAGTTTATTGAGTTTTTAGCATAAAGTGTTGTTGAATTTTGTCGAAGGCCTTCTCTGTATCTATTGAGATAATCATGTGGTTTTTGTCTTTTGTTCTGTTTATGTGGTGAATTATGTTTATAGACTTGGGTATGTTGAACCAGCCTTGCATTCCTGGGATGAAGCCTACTTGATCGTGATGGATAACGTTTTTGATGTGCTGTTGCAATCAGCATATCAGTATTTTGCCAGTATTTTATTGAAGATTTTTGCATCTATGTTCATCATGGATATTGGCCTGAAGTTTTCTTTTCTTGTTGAGTCTCTGCTGGGTTTTGGTATCAGGATGATGTTGGTCTCATAAAATGATTTGGGAGGGATTCCCTCTTTTTGGATTGTTTGGAATAGTTTCAGAAGGAATGGTACCAGCTCCTCTTTGTACGTCTGGTAGAATTCAGCTGTGAGCCCATCTGAACCTGGGCTTTTTTTGGTTGGTAGGCTATTAATTGCTGCCTCAACTTCAGCCCTTGTTATTGGTCTATTCAGGGTTTCAACTTCTTCCTGGTTTAGTCTTGGGAAGGTGCAAGTGTCTAGGAATTTATCCATTTCTTCCAAGTTTACTGGTTTATGAGCACAGAGTTGTTTGTAGTAATCTCTGATGGTAGTTTGTATTTCTGTAGAATCTGTGGTGATATCCCCTTTATCATTTCTTATTGCAACTATTTGATTCTTCTTTCTTTTCTTTTTTATTAATCTGGCTAGCAGTCTGTATTTTGTTGATATTTTCAAAAAACCAGCTTCTGGGTTTATTGATTTTTTTGAAGGATCTTTTTGTGTCTCTATCTCCTTCAGTTCTCCTCTGATCTTAGTTATTTCTTGTCTTCTGTTAGCTTTTGAGTTTTTTTCATCTTGCTCCTCTAGCTCTTTCAATTTTGATGATAGAGTTTTGATTTTCGTTCTTTCCTTGCTTCTCA